AGTTGGGCAAGGATTATGCAGTAGAAAATGAGCCTTATCGTAGCATTATCCAAAGAATTATAATTAAGAGTTCTAACCATGGTACACATTCATTTAGATGCCATTAGCCATTGTCTCTTCCTGATATAAGCCTACTTTGATCTAGAAAGCAGCTTTATATAATTATGTTTGCATGAAAATGTAAAGAAAATTTACCCAAATAAGTTACAGCCTGATTAATTATGCTGATGAAATATTTCATAGCAACAGTGATGACCCACTAGAGCTAAACACACGTAATAAATTCCATTTAATCAATACAAGAGCTTAAGTCATACTAAAGTCAGAAACACAGACCTGGTAGATATGACTATGAAAAGCCAGAATCCATAGCTGCATTGAATTGGTATCAGGATTCTATTAGTGACCTAAAGATTCCCAATTAGAAGCAACACTGGGAAGGGAAAAAGAATAGTACCAAAACATGAAAAAATGTTACTACCTCATTGATATTGCCAGGACTTACAAAGGGGTAGAGTTTCAATGTCAATAACATACCGACCATTATTTATGTTTTGACCACTTAATGGTGGATGCCAGTATTCTTGAATTATCTAGATGGGACAGCTTGAATGTGGAAAATGTAAACATTCAACTATCTCTAACGGAAAGAGGTTAATTCACTTCTTAAAAGGAAGCAACTGTAAAAGCCCATAAAGGATTTGAAGTATGACTTGATGTAAATTCTGTAACATCTGTTCTACCTGGTGAGAGATTTTTCCCATCTCATATGGTTGCCATAACAACAAAGAAATACTTCCTGGCCAAATAGATCCCATTTCTAGAGAGCGCCTGACAACTAAGTGGAATGAAGATGGATATTTTAATCCAAGATAAAGACTGAAAGAGCGGGGAAAAAAGGTCAAAGGGAAAATGTTTTGAAGAAGAAAATTTTGGAAGACAGAGAAACAAGAATGAAACAGTTTAGAAGGGAGAGCAGAGGACAACAGAAGAGAGTGAAAGGAACTGAATCAAGAAGGAGTAATAAGTTACAGAAGAGAACAAAATGCACAGGAAGAGTAGAGACACAAAGAAGACAGCGAAGAAATATAATTCATATATTCCCATATTTATCTAATAGAAACATTTGGTGCTGTTGGTAAACTTAGGCTACTGATGTTCTACTTCAATGGAATTTAGATTTTGAAATTGCATAATAGAAAGAACATCGACTGTTTTGAACTGCGGTGTTGGAGAAGATTCTAAAAATGCCATACATAGCCAAAAAGAACTTTTAAAAATGAGTGTTTCTCAGCCTCAGCGACTTTAAGATTTGTGGACTTCAATTCACAGAATTTCCCAGCCAGCATGCAGGGAGGAGAATTCTGGGAGTTGATATCTTAAAGTATCTGAAATTGAGGAACACTGAAATAGATCATAGAACAAATCAAACCCATTCTCACTCAGGACACAAATAACCAGAGTCAAATTATGATATTTTAGGCATCTTCTAAACAACCTTGAGAAATTTGTAATACTGGGGAAACGAGAAGAAACGAGATGCCTTAAAGTGGATGGAGTCAATTACAGTGGCAAGTGTTACATGATTGGAAGATCTCAAGGACCAAATTATGGATAGATTAGCCTAGAGAAAAACTCTGTAGTTACTAAAAGTCAGTGCTGACATGACAGCACATAATCAATCAAACACTCAATGAGTAATGTTGGGAAAGTATCTCCAAATTAAGTTTTAATAAGATCTGAATTTCAATAGCTGGGGAGTCGGCCAGAGTTCGATATAAAATGGGAGGCTATAAAAATGCTTTAAATAAATAAAGGTTTTTAAAAGCCACATTTTTCTATAATCATTGAACATAAAAGATAGAATAACAAGATTGGAAGGGATCTTGGAGGTTTTCAACCACCTGCTTGAGCAGAAGCCCATATACCAGTGATGGCGAACCTTTTTTTCCTTGGGTGCCAAAAGTGCACTTGCATGCTGACACCCATAATGCAATGCCCCCCTGCAGGCTGACACCCATAATACCGCCCCCGTGAATGCACACGTGACCCTCCCTGCACTCCCCCACGTATGCACACACAACCCCCGTTTTTGTGCTAGCAGGCCTACCTGAAGCATCCTGGAACCAAAAATAGGGCATGGGGGGTCCCCGAATTCCCCCACCCTCCATGCATGCATGCATGACCCCCCCACCCCCATGCATGCATGCACAACTCCCCCCTCCAATCCCCAGGCATGCACACGTGCACGTGTCTCCCGGCAGAGACCCGAAAATCAGCTGGCCAGCGGGAGACACACAGGCATGCAGAGTGGAGCTGACGTGGGCGTCAGCTCAGGTGCCCACAGAGTTGGCTCCATGTGCTACCTGTGGCACGTGTGCTATAGGTTCACCATCATGGCCCTATATCATTTCAGGCAGATAGTTGTCCAATCTCTTAAAAACTATGGAGCACATACAAGTTCTGGAAGCAAGCTGTTCCACTAATAGATTATTCTTACTGTCAGAAAATTTATCCTTAATTCTGCTCCTTAGTCTGCCATCAAGTGTTTTGGAGAATAGGTCAACCTCCTATTTTGTGGCTACCTCTTAAATATTGGAAAACTTCTATCATTTTATATCTAGTCCTTCTCTTTGTTAGACTAGACATACATAGTTCCTGCAAATGTTCATTATATGTTTTAGTTTTCAGACCCCTTATCATTTTTGTTGTTCTTCTCTGTGCTCTTTTTGGCATCTTAACATCTTTTCTATATCATGGTGACCAAAAGTGGATGCAGTATTCCAATTTTGCAATGAAGTAGAAAGCATTACTATCATTTCACATGATCAATACTATCACTCTGGTGATGCAGTCTAGGACTGCAATGGCCTTTGTGGCAGCTGCACCACACTGCTGCCTCTTACTTAAATGTTTGTCCACCAGGACAACCAAATCCTTCTCACAATTACAATTGTGAGAAGGCACCATGTGCATTTGATTTTTCTATACATGTGCATTTGGTTTTTCTTGCCTAAGTGTAAGATCTTATTTTTCTCAGCTCCGAACTGCATTGTCAGATGCATTTTTTTCATCATCCATCTGTATCAGGGCAGGGGTGTCAAACTCGATTTCATTGAGGGAGGTATTAGGTTTGTATTTGACCTTGGGAGGCCAGGGTGGATGTGGCCAGCATGACATCACTTGTGTTGGGGGACACCTGTGGTGGCCAAAGCTCTCTGCCAGCGAAAATGGGCTCCCAAGCTCTGTTTTTGGCTATGACAGCCTCCTGCAACCCTTCTGCCAGAGAAAACAGAGTTCAGGGGGGCACACATACTCCTTGCGAGCTCCATTTTTGGTTGGCACAGCCTCCTCCAACCCTCTGCCAAAGAAAATGGAGCTTGTGAGCTCCGTTTTCGCTGGGAGAAGCACCGCGGCCTTGACCTTCACTGGATCGGGGCCAGATCCAGCTCCTGGACCTTGAGTTTGAAACCCCTGGCCTAGGGCATCATGTTAAACCTGGTGATTCTGAGGATTATTACAATAGCAGAAAAAGGGATTAATTCACATTCCACAGTACAGCAGAGTTTTTTAAGATATAACTGTTTGGATCAGTGTTTCTCAGCTTTAGCAACCCTAACATGCTAGCTAAGGAATTCTGGGAGTTCAAGTCTACACATCTTAACATTTCTAAGGTTGAGAAATACTAGATTTAACTCCTGATTTCTTCATGGACATCTCTGTGAGGTTTGTTGTCATCAATGCAGAAGTGTGTTGCTTTACTTTTGTCTTTTTGGTCCAGGACATTAATGTTCTATTTTCTAAGGTTGTTCAATCTATAGTCTCCATTTCTGGGTCTTCCTGGCAATATTCCATACAAAGATTTATGAGGACTGACTGATTTAGCCTTTAAAGAACAGCCAGGATAAATGCCACTACCTCTTGGTATTCTTTATGGTTTTGCATCCAATTAACGTTTCAGAAATTTGGTAACCATTTTTTCATTTTTGTGTTTATGTGAATTTTGGTTAATAACTGGGGTCTTTAATCTTTAGTAACATAAATTCTCACTTATAATCTGCTATTATGAAATTATTAAATAATTGTGAAAAATAATCTTTTAATTTCAACTTTGGGAACTAACTTAAACCTGAATGGACAGTTTCAATCTAATTGGTCTGCAAGTTGACTTGGCAAGGAGCAAGTCCACATTTTTTTGCTGTTTTATATGTTTCTGTTATTTTACAATCTTTTGAGATTGATAAAATGGATTGTTTAATATACTCATGCAGCTGAAGCAGAGTTTCATTTTCATTGTTGCATGTTTCTTTTTTTATTATTTTATACATGTGTCTTGTTTGTGTGTAGGAGACAGAATCAAACCATTCTACGGAGCTTTTCAATCCTTATGCAAAATCCATTTTTATATTATCATAGTCATTTTAAGTAATATGATGTTTAAAAATACACAGATGTGTACAATTAAGAAAGTAGCAAAGCAATAAAGGTAGCATAATATGTGAAACTTCATTTATTATTCTGTGTACTATACACTTGCAGGATTGCATATCAGAATACAAGTATTGTACTTGTATTAAAGCCAAAATGATGTTTTAGAATTCAGGCAAGACCACCACCATTTGAAAAGAATTTAGTGTATTATGTATTGATAACAATGCCACGATAGACAAAGGAATGCAATTTAATAATACAGAATTGTGCTCACGAGTTTTCCTTTTTCTTGTTAATTGGTTACTTTAGCTGATATTGTCTGTAACCATAATGGTGCTATTCTTCCTAATAGTTCCATCTCGCCAGATGATGTCTACCGACATGATGTAGTCCATTTTAATTTTTTTTTCATTTTGCGCACATCTTTTAGGATAATACAGCTTTCAAACAGGCTAGCATTATTCTTCATTATCTGTGCTGTATGGTTGTAGTTCTTAAATTAATTAGTTTTCCTTTTTTTTCTTCCCTGGAAGTTAAAAGTTTTTTTTCTTCTTCAATTTATCTACCAGGTACGATTATGTTGAAGTGATTGATGGAGACAGTGCAAATGGGCGAGTGTGGGGAAAGTTTTGTGGCAAAATTGCTCCCCCACCTGTGATATCTACAGGACCATACCTCTTAATCAAGTTTGTCTCTGATTATGAAACTCATGGAGCAGGCTTCTCCATTCGCTATGAAATTTTTAAAAGAGGTGAGCAAACTGCTTAATCTTGTCATGCTAATTGTTTTTAATATGAAATATTGACAGTGGGATTGTTCAGTTTGAAGGTCACTATTACTTGGAGAGAGGGGAATTAAAACGAAATTTAATGTCAACTTAGTTTCTAGAACATTGCTTTCATAGGACTGTGGAAGTCAGTGAATCAAGTCACTAACTTTTGGTCTGTTCTGATACAAATATAATTCTTTTTTGCATTCTGTTCTCATAATAGCAAATTATGCTATTATTTGCTATTACTCTGGAAAGTTACGATCGTGATGAATATAACCTACTATTGCCTGTAATATGTTCACAAAGTTTTGTTACTAATTTGAACCTTCACGGGTGAACATCGATTTAGCAACTTTTGAATTTTAAATAAGTAGATCAACAAATTTGATGTTCTATACATATCTCTAATATAAATTAATAAGCTTTTTCATTTAAAAATAGTTACTGCATGTCAAAACGGTAATAAAAAATACAAACCTCTGAACCTGGTAACATAAGAGAAAGAGAAAGAAGTATATTTCTAATTTTATTGCTGATTTTACTAATATTGTGATTTCCCAACCTTTTTTTACAATTAACTGTTTAGTTAAATATTTGTTGAATGCAAAAGGGCAGAATTAAATAATTAGCTTCATTTGAAAGTCCTGCTTAATTGATGCATCTTTTTCTTTGCCTTTAATATATTGGTTTTGTTTCATGTCTTTTTTTATAATATTACAAATATTTTCCCAATATGGGAACTCACTGTGTCCATTGTGGATTGAGAATGGATGGTATGTAGAACATCAGAATACTTTTTAAACATTTGCTGCTAGAAAGTTCTAGAAAGAGGGCAATAATCAACATAGACTTCAAACACCACCTGATTTGTTTCAACGAAGACAGATGAATGCAAGCATTTTTGTAAACAAAATACCACATGAATGGAATGTGAAAGTTTTTCTGCTCTGACAAAGACTGGCAAATGGCTTCTGTTCCATGGTCAAATTCTTTTTGAAGTAATTTTGTGAGTAAGGATCACAGTCACTTTTGGAATAAGCCTTATGTTTGCCTGGATGTAGAATGAAGAAATATTTCATTTTTCTGGCATCCAGGAACATGCTCTGAACAAAGCTAGATAATGAATAAAGTAAGACAACATTCCACCCTATTCCAAGATGTTAATTTTTATAGAAATATTTTGTTTTCAGGACAAAACATTTAGATACCTTACAAGTTGGATTATCAGTACCAATTAAACAATGATCTTTTAAGGCCTAAAGATCTAATGAAAGATCTCTGAAACCAGAGAATTTGCAGAAAGTGAACATTTTCAGTACATTTTTTTTTTCCTTGATATCTCAGTGACACTCAACAGTTTATTGATTTCCTTGTATGATATCTTAAATCTCCTTCAGAAAGACATTAGGTACATTAAGGCAACATTATAAATGAGAACTTGCACACTCAAAAGTCAGAATATTTAAAGTTATTGCCCCCAAAGTAATATTAATTCAGGTTTATGCCATAGTATGTCAAAATGGAAATGCTATTTCTAGGTTCAGGAATGAAGAAGTTCCCATACACATGTGTGGTCTGAAAATTACAGTTGCTGTAAAACCATTTTGGTTTAGTGCACTGGTGGGATTCAAATAATTTTATAACCAGTTCTCCACCCTAATGACTGGCTGGGTGGGTGTGGCCACAGTGGGCTTGGCCAGGAGTTGTGACAGACAGCACTTGGCCTCATGCACCTTCCTGGGAGCAAAAATGGGCCACGGGTAGAGGGAGGACAGACCATACCCACCCCACCCCATTTTGGGCCTAGTAGACCTCCCTACACTTACCTGGGAGCCCAAATGGGGCACGTGGGGACTTCTGGAAGGGGAGGGGTGGGGCTAGCCAGCAATTTAACAACTGGTTCAGTTGAAGTGGTGTGAACCGGTTGAATCCCACCACTGGTTTAGTGATTAAGTTTGATATAGTAGTTAAAGCACAAGGTTAAATATCAGCAGTTCTAATCCCACTTTAGATCCAAAGCTAGCTGTGTGACTTCAGGGCAGTCACTCTCTCTCAGCCCAATTCATCTCACAGGGTTATTCTTGTGGGGAAAATAGCAGAAGGAAGGAGTATTTGATATGTTTGTCACCTTGAATTATTTATAAAAATAATACAGATAGTCCTTAGCTTACAAAGTAGTTACTTAATGACCAAAATTACAGTGGATCCCCAAAAGACCCATTTGTAAAGTTATGACAACTGCAATTGCACGTGCATGCACAGACACACACATACACACTTATAATTGTAATTTGGTCATTTGGCAACCTTTACAGCCATTTGTGATATGCTGTGGGCATGTGACTGCAATATGAGATGCTTTTTGACAGTTTCTCAAATTTACTTCCAGTTTCCAGCAAAAAATGCTCACTGGGGAAAATTGATTTGCTTAATGACCACAGATGCCAAAAAATTGGGTGTGATCACATGATGCATCAATTTACAACCACAATAATTTACAATCATAATCCGAGGGTCAGTTATACTTGAGGACTACTTGTAAAAGTGGGATCAAAAAAAAATCTAAAAAATAAAATAAACTGAAATCTCTATCTAATATTTTAATATTAAATTGCAACAAAAGTGGGTACAGTGTGAATATGCCTCTGTGCATTACAGGACAATGAGATAGATAAATGAGAATAGAAAATTATCTTACACAGCTTGGGTGGCAAAGCTACAAAATCCTATCATTATCTGTTTCATCTCTATGTTGTTTACCTGTTCATTTTGTCCTGTGAATTGGACATTATAGCACAAATTAAGCTATAAGATGTCATATGGTTTTAACAGCTTTTTAGAATTCATTGCTGTTTTTAAAAATGATATCTTTAATTTATAGTGCTTTTGTGGTTCTAAATGTCTCTCCATCTAAGAATTTTCTATAAAATTCTATAATCCCCAACTGCAGCATAAATTTCACATGTTGCACAGGTAAAGTAGTTGAGTAGAAGCTCTCTGAGCTTGCTTGTTTTCTTGCAGATGTTTCCTACTCAAACTAGGTAATATCATCAGGACTAGCACTGATGATGTTACCTAATTTAGGTAATGAAACATCTGTAAGAAAACAAGCAAATTTAGAGATTACCAACGACCCCTCATAATTTTACCCTGTCTGGCTATAAAAGGAATTGAGGGCAAAAAAACAACTAAGAAAAGTAGAGGAAAAGTATAAATATATTGTTGTCAAAATATCGATGTGTCCATGAAGATAGCTGTAATCAGATTTGATCCAGTTTTGTTTTCCTTTACTAAGCTAACAAAAATAGGGCAAAATATATTGAAAACAAATATTTGATGAATCTCTGAGACTAAGCAAAAATTGAAACAAATATGAACTAATTCTTTTGTCTTGTTTGCTAACTTTGGATTGACGTGATACCGAGCAGGCAGGAGGCCGCATGTTCTGAATTATTTTACACCATTGCATATTGTGAGTTTATTTATAAACATATGCAACAGACTAGAGTTGTCACTAGCTTTATCAATGAATAGATAAATATGGCCATTTTCTTAGATTAGCCTTCATCAAAATTTAATTGTTGGAGGGAGGGAGGAAGGGAAGGAAGGGAAGGGAAGGGAGGGAGGGAGGGAAGGAAGGAAGGAAGGAAGGAAGGAAGGAAGGAAGGAAGGAAGGAAGTTGCATTCCAGAGAAAGAGAGAAGGAGAGGGAGAGGGAGGGAAAGAGTGAGAGAGAGAGAAAGACTATAACTTTGTCAACAAGGAAATCCTATGTGTAGATATACAGTACAGAACATCTGTGGTGAAACACAGGCCTTAATATCTCTTATCATAGTGGAAAATTCTTTACCTGAAAATGTAGAAGGATTGGGGACATTTTAAACTATAGAACTATAAAACAGTATTTCTAAACTTGGTGGAGGCCAGATATATTAGGCTGCAATATCCATCATCCCAGTCTATATTGTTATGGGACAATAGATTGATCTTATTTTGAAGCTACCTTGGTGTATGAATGAAAATCAGATAACATAAAAGAAATTTTCTGAAGGCTGCAGCTGAGAAAGGAAAGATTAATTTTCTAATATATTTGTGGAATTCAATGTGACCCTACATTTGGAACAATTTGTTCCAAATATATAGTTGATCCCATACTTGCAAACCTTTAGAAAGGTGGTCAAGACCTGGCTTTTCTCTTAGGCCTTTGAGTTAGGTTGAGTGGAGTCCAAAATTGAATGAGTTGCAATATATTTTGGCCCAGTTGCCATTTTATGTTTTAGTTGACTTTAATGCATTGTAGTTATTGTCCTTGCTGTGGAAAGTATTTTTCCACCTCTTGTTCAATTGCATGGCTATAAAAATGAGAGTGAGTGAGATGAGGGAGGGAGGGAGGGAGGGAGGGAGGGAGGGAGGAAGGAAGGAAGGAAGGAAGGAAGGAAGGAAGGAAGGAAGGAAGGAAGGAATTTGCAACATAGCAGGAAGTTATCCTGATAGCATGAAACTTGGAAACAGACTCTCATTCATTCCCATATGGGGAAGTGTTTTTTCAAATCTACTTGCTGCCTCTTATAGGAACAGCATCTTCCTGTATGCATGTTTGCATCAATGTTGCAGTATGTGAATCAAACAGTGCATAGGATAGTTGTTTTCCTCATCTGTTGTGATTGCATCAGAAAAAGTTACTTCTGCAAAGAAATTAGAAGTCACAGAGGCAGTGGACATTGCCCATTCATGTGGGAAGTTTGTAGCGCTATAATAGAATTGCTTTGCACAATACTGAAGTTAGTTAGATTTGATCAACAATGCTAGTAATCAAACAATTTATCATACCTTCACTAACAGCATCACTTTACTGGTGCACCTGTGTCAACACTGCTCAGAATGAGTCAGTCACCCTTGATACAAGTACGAATTACCTTTCACATCTAGTTTGTCAAGAAGGCATAGGTCACATCTGGCAGACTTACTGAGCCACTACTCTAGGAATATGAAACCATTGTTCCATCGACCAAACACCACACTCCCTCTTCTTGCAAACATTCTGTTTTACCAATAAAGGGCTGTCAACCTGAAGATTTAAAGATTTAAGTTTAAAGGAACTATAATTATTTCCCCTGGGCTGACAATATTTCTGCAGTTTACACTTTCATTGTTCCCATATGACATTGTCATAATTTTTCCCTCTATTTGAGAACTGGCCCAACTTTACTTTTTCAGCTTGGTCTGGTAGAAAAATGGGCTTCATGTAATAAACGGGAATTGCAATGATCAGTATTAGGAACAAGTTAGCTAATATAGGGATTAACGTGGGGCAAAAAGCCATGTTGCTTTTTTAAAAAAAGAGAAGTGGTATAATTTGTTTTCTTGCTAATGGTAAGATTCTTACAAAAGGGGATATATGTTATTGTCTCTTTTGTTGATGCAGGACCAGAATGCTCCAGAAACTTTACATCTATGACTGGTATGATCAAATCACCAGGATTCCCTGAAAAATATCCCAACAGCCTTGAATGTACTTACATTATCTTTGCACCAAAGATGTCAGAGATTATCCTGGAATTTGAAAGCTTTGAACTGGAACCAGATACAAATCCTCCAGGAGGCGCATTCTGCCGTTATGATCGTTTGGAAGTCTGGGAGGGTTTCCCGGAAGGTAAGACTCCCATACCCGATAGCTGCCATGATGTTATTGATGCCATGGTCAACAAGAGTTGGTTTAATCACCATTATAGTTAAAATTAGGAGATAAAGAGTATTTTAATATTAACCTTGAAATGTGTCCATTTCAGATTTCAAGGCATTAGGCTTTATCGAGGACAAAGAAGTCAGGCAGAAATGTATTGAGTTTCCTATGCTGTCCATCAAATGAAATGCAATTCTGCTTGTATTTTAATGTCGTTAAACTGACATTCAGCACCCTATGCTGAATATGGTCATGATAAAAGATTATAAGAATTTTCAAAAAATAATGGTATAAAGATTCAACGTTAATTCAATTATATATTATAAAGTGGTACAGAATTTGATCCGCTAACATCGAGTTCTGCTGTAACAGTAATCTTACATCAAATTCTTGCTGATGTGGGCTAAAGAGATAAATTTTACATGTTGTTAGCACTAATGGAGAGATGATATATGGTGTTATTCTACTGCTATTGGTTAAGTTTAGACTACTGGGAAGTGTTCTATAGGGAGTTAGTTTTACTCTCAGAAATTGAAGTTGTTGCAAATTGTGGCAGATATTACAATCTTTTGAAGCAATCATGTTAGCTGCCAATTGGCTGATGAGTCAAGATCAGGCTTTTGGTTTTGGCATAAAAGGACCCTGGGAATTTGGGACTGGTCTTTTGCAGGCCCAGTCCATCCCTGAAACTGATGGGGAGGGTTTTTTCCATGTGCCAAAAACCATCCAGTGCCAATTGTATATGGGTATGGTTGATCCTGTGGTATCCCTGAACTTTCTGAAGTAGTCTTTCCTGAAGCTTGTGAGGCATTTAATACTAAATATTTTAAATTTCTTTTGTATTTCTTGTATGAAGCCTGGATGAATGGTTTTAGTTTCTGTTTTTGTTTACTTATTCCTCCCTCCTGTTTTGTTGTATATGATTTTTCATATTATTTCTATTATAGCTGTTATATTTGTAAGCTGTTTAGAGATGTTTTTATATAGAAAGCAGTATAAAATATATGAAACAATATTATATACAATTATTATAATCATCCATAATGTCATAGATAACTCAAGGCCACTGCATAAATCCATGCAGTGGCCTTACACTGCATGGCCTATACACTCTTGGGCATTCAAGTACAAACATACACACATACAGAGAGAGAGGGGGGGGAGGGAATGAAAAATCCATTACTCCTCCTGTCCCTGGCCTGGGTTTCCAGAATATTCTGTATGATTCTAGGCGCTATGTTTTCACTTTCCTTGTTCCCCCTCATACTTGCCACATCACAAGCTACCATATTTTTCAGACTATAAGACGCACCTTTTTTCCCAAAAAAAGAGGGTGAAAATCTGGGTGCATCTTGTACTCCAAATGTAGCCCCGCCCAGCTTCTCAAACAGAGATTTCAGAGGCTGAAAAAAGCATCAGAAACGAAACTTCAGAAAAGAAGCCCCGAAACAGAGCTTCAGAGGCTTTTATTCTGAAGCTCTGTTTCGGAGGCTTTCAGAGGCAAGAAAAAAAAATTTTTCTGAAACAGTTTCAGAAGTTTTAGAGGCAGAAAAAAAAAGCAAAAAAAAGCAAGACACGGAGCTCACAATCAAGGAACTTGTTGCTAAAATTCACCTCTGGGAACAGTTGATGGGGGTATTCCGGGAGGCCTATCCACAGAATATTCTGTATGATATTCAGCTTTTTTCTTATTTTCCTCTCCAAAAACTAAGGTGTGTCTTATACTCTGGTGCGTCTTATACTCTGAAAAATACGGTATTAATTGCAAGTTGTTGCCAATATATTGTTCACACAATCCATTGTTCTTTCTGTTTTTCCTTACCACTATGGATTGGGATTACTTTTAGGAGGCCATAATAAAAACCAAGTGAGGGAAGAATACAATTAAAATCTATGAAACATTATTAAATTGAGGAATTCATTGTGAAACGCTTTTCTCATAGCTGTCTTAGAGGACTTTAAGAGAACTAGAGAAATTCATTGCAGATCAGTGGATATTAGCATTGATGGCTACAATATGTGATTATCTCCTGAATCACAGGCAACAACATACTCTAAGCAGCAATTCCAGGGAAATAAGTCAAAAAGAGATACCGTCTTCTGATCAATGCTTCTGAGGTACTTAAATACATCAGACTGACAACTGTCTGGTCAGCCGAAAGATGGATTAGATGGGTTTTTAGCCTGATCTGGCAGGACTCTTTATGTTGCTACACACAGCCAACTTTTTAACAAGAAAATGCTTACCCAGAATTTAGTTTCCTCATAGTCTCATTGAGATAAAGAATTTGTTTGCACACATACTAGAGGATTAAGAGCAATAACCCTTCTAAATATTCTTCATAAGATTTCTAGAATAATTAATTCCTTGGGATTTCTTCCAAAGATCAAAACTCTTCCTTTTCCATCCAAATTTAATTCAGATTAAGATGCTAGTCTTCTCCTATTGCTCTTGAGTGGAAAAACAAGTGGATAATTTCCACGTATCACAAGCTACCTCATTTCTCTTTTGGGGCTATTGAAAGACAATCTCGGTTATTAACTGGCATTCTTCAAGACACCAACTCTGACAACAGAACACAGAATCAAAACTGTAGATCAAAATTGTCAGAAAAAAGGCAGCCCTGTAATATTATCGTCTCCAACACTCCTGATGTCATAATGGTATGCAGACTTCATTGTTAGCTATCTTGGTGGTATCATTTCAATTTGTAGAGTCACTTTTTTGAATTTTCTCTCCGTGTAAAAAGTTGTATGCATGAAATAAATCTATGTATTATATACAGGTAGTCCTCTTTTAGCAATTGCAATCAGGTCCAACAATTCAATCATTAAGTGAAGTGGTCACAAATTGCAACTGTGCTTACAGTTTTACGCAGGACAATATATATATTAATTGATGGTGACAACCTATGAAAAGTTGTAAATATGTACTTTGCATTGGTTGCAAAGTTACTTTTTCGTCACGGTCATAATTGCAAATGTCACAGTCTGAGGCAGTCAATAAGCAATGATTAGCTTGCGGAATAGTTTTATATCTGTAAGAGACTTATATAAATGATTTAAATAGGAATCTTTTTTAAACAATACACACACACCCTTACCTACTTACAGGTTAAATTAATGTACAGCTAATCTTTGATTATTCACTTAAAAGTCAATCAAAGTTTAACAGATTAACAGAGTTGGAAGGCACCTTGTAGGTCTTCTAGTCCAACCATCCCGTCCTAAATTATAATGGCACTGCAAATCCTCACACTTTTAAACAACCATGACAGCATTCCCCACTGTCATATTGCCCATATTTGGACACTTAGCAACCGGCATGATTGCAGTGTCCTGAGATCACATGATTGCCACATGATTGCAATCTTTCTAATCAGTTTCCAACAAGCAATATCAAGGGGGGAAGCCAGATTGACTTAATGATCAGATTATTCACTTAACAACTGGGTGATTCACATCATGACCGTGGCAAAATAGATCGTAAAATCAAGCATCACACATTTAATAATGCTTCGCTTAACAACAGAGGTTCCAGTCCCAATTGTGGTCTTAAGTCGAGGACTACCTTTATCAAAAGTCCCTATTAGTAAGTAACAATGCAGCTGAAAAAACAATAACTAAAGGACTGTCTACTATTGAACTTGTCAGTATGGACAGCATGGTACAACAAAGCTAAAATTAATGTAGATTTTCCAAATCATTATGTTAAACATGCCATTCTGAGAATATGGAATAAATTCAAATCTAGATTGAAGCTGGAAAAATCTTTGTGACTCTCATCACAAGAAGCATTTTATAAACAATAGAAATGATAAGTAAGCATAAATGGTTAGTATTGTGATAAGCTAGAATTTTTTCATGGGGAATGTAAGATCAAACCAAATTAAGATCTGATAAAAGAATATATTTGTCAATGGTTTGCTTATACACAATTATCAGAAAGATTTAAAGTAGATAAAATACTTTAAAGTTTTGAACAATCTAACACTGAATTTGAAACAAAACTATATGCAAATTATGGACATATATTGCTAAAATGTACAACTTTTTGTTGAAATTTGAGACAAAAGAAAATTAAATGAAATTATGTATGATAAAAAGGGCTAAAACTTGATTACAGTACACAAATTGAATAATGGGAAAATGTGTGATTGAAAGGGTTAAAATTTACATTAAGCTCTAACATTAAATAAAATTTTAATAATTTTTTATAACTGATATAATGTTGATATTTGGCACCAGAGAAATTGTCTAGAATGTATGAAGGTACTTCAAATGTATGTGGAATATGAATAATAGGAAGAGACATTTTATAATATTTGATGAACATGTAATAAAGCCAAACATTTTTGGTTAGAAATATACTCACTAATTCAAAATATTTTAAAGTGAAACGAGAGGCTTTTCTTTTGGAAATAATGAACAGACAGAACAAAAAAATCATGAAACTTTGTTTTTATTCTATGACAACTACAACGTTATTATGTGCTCAAAAGTGGAAAGATTCAGTATTACCCACAATGCAGGAACAGTAGGTAAGGATGACCCCATTTGCAGACATGGCTAAACTTTACTGATTAATGAAAAGTCATATATATTTATTGCTAACAGAAAAACCTATACTTTTTTCATGAAGTATTGAACTGATGATTTTGATGATTAAGGAAAAAAAATAGATAATAGAAATAAGAGAACTTTTTTGTAACTATAGAGTAAGATAATTTTATAACCATGCTTGTATTTGCAAGCATGGTTATAAATCGGAAGCTACATTTTTATATTTCTTACATCTTTTGTTGCATCTTTTTCTTTTGTCATTTTCATTTTCTTTCTTCTTTTCCTTTGTTAGCTTTTTGTTAATTGTTATCTGCTTTTTCAAACTTTTAATAAAACATTTATGTAGTGTTTAACTTGTCGGTTGCAACAGCTTTATAACACAGTGTAACTATGCCTTAAATATAATA